AGTCGACATATGATTTACTGAGCGTTCTTTATGCTGACAAGGTCATTGTATCGACTATAGAATTTTCGAAATGTTGACATCCATGTTTCATTAACTTATTTTTCAATAGCTTACATCGAAAACGAAATTATACTTCGTACGTATTCCCTTATGTATCGAATCAATTCACAGATACAAACTCCGTTTCCTGGTGTATCGGTAATACATATTGTTACCCAAATAAAGGAAACTGACGATAGAAAAGTTGATGCCATCATGTTTTTCCTAAATTTATGTGGCCAGTTTAGTACGTGTGGTTTACAACCGCTAGTAAATATCTGAATATGACTCAGCTATCCTTGTTTCAATCATTTATTTGTCATAAACTTATCTCGTTTTAGATATAGTTCGTACGTAAAGAATGTTCTTAGGTATTTGATCAACTGGAAGACAAATAAGGGTTTATTGCTACATAATTTAATTCTGGTTGTAACGCTGTATTTGATTGGATAAAAATTTTACTTCATATCGTATAAAATGGGTTGCCTACGTCACAATGACTTTCGTCAAAAACGTATCAATCCGCCTGACGTTACATTCAAATTTTGTACAAATTGAAGTCATTTTGTTAGAACAATCATCTTTTTTTCTTACATCAAATGAATGAAAATTAAATTATAAGCAATGAATTTAATAGCTACCCATTTTATACGGTATAAACTGGGTTGGAACAGTTTAGGCTTTTTTAAAAACCGCTTCGCGGTTTATAAAGCGTAAACTGCCCCAACCCAGTTTATACCGTATAAAATGGGTAGCTATTAAATTCATTCCTTAAATAAATAAGGTAAGTTGAAAAAAAATAAAGTTGAAGTCACCACATTTTTCATAACGTTTTGTTGCTAAGTTAACATTATTGTCTCTTTCTAGTTAAATAAATAAATATGAAAGTGATGATCCAGACCCTGTTGAATCTTTTATTGACGTTCAGTGGTATACGTCAAATCACCGAATGAATAAAACTTATTATCAGCGAAAAAAAAAAGATTAGTGTTTTCTTCGATGTAACTTAATTTCAAATTAAGTGCCACAACATTTTTTTTCAACTTAAGTTTTTATATATAATAATATATATGATATGGGATAGAGGAAATCTTCTATAATTTGTGATTGAATATAAATTTTATCCAAGTAAGGGTAGGGCTAGGGGACAAAATAATACACAAGGTGTTATACATAAATCATTTCCAACAACAAAATTAATTGAGATCCTCTTTATTCTATGTTCAAAACAACTTTATTAATGTTTTACACTGTTTTTATGTGGGAATCATTTTATTTTACTTCATTCCTCTCAAATGTAACCCATTGCGATGCCAAAATTGTGGGACATCAAAAAAATACCTAATGATAAACCATTTACCAATGAAGGGCTATGAACTTAAACCTTTACTCGGCATTCGGGGCTATTGAACAGTGAAGTTGCTTTATCAAACCCACACCTACTGCGAGACGGGGTTCGATTTTTTTAAAGGTCTCATCCGAAGAACGCGCAACTTCGAAGTGCCGAGCGCTAGGTGAAGAAACAGTTGTTAGCTATCTTTCACCGACTTGGGTCAGTCGCGGACATGATTTAAACACACAATATTCCGATTACTAAGCGAGAGCTCTGCTGACTGAGCTACCATGACGGCTGAAATATACGCTTGAGAATTTTTTCTTGCAGTTCAACTCTAAATCCATTTATTACTTTGAAAATCAAAGTACTGTGAACGACAACACACCATTTGGACATAGCAAAGACATGTAGCAACTTTATTGTACAGTATGCATAACATACGCATAATATGAAAATCAAATTTTATAAACATATTGATGTTGGATTGAATAAATGAAGATAAAATTTATTGTGCTCTACATGTCGTCCTAAACTGGCATTCAAACCATTATTCACCTCTTATATAGCCTTACTAAAAGACCCGTTCTAAAAAAAAAAAAAAAAAAAACACGTGATATTCACCAGATATTCGAATGAAAACCTTGTAATTCCGAAAAAAAGAAATTCATTTTCACACTAAATAGAAATTGATTTCTGTCTAATTCGTTCCTCAAACGAAAGAAATAATATTTATTTTCGTCCTTGAAAAAGTTTTTTTTTTCTAAAAAAAAAAAATGGTATTAATTTTCCAAAAAAAAGAAGATAAATTATTATTGCATTAAATTTATAAACAAAAAATGTTGGGAAAAACAAATCTGTAGTATTGATATACAATAATGGTGTAATAAATATCATCATCAAAGAGACTTATATGTTTGAAAAATGAATATTAACAATGTATAATATGGACTGCAGAACGGTTCACATTCCCACCTAATTTGAGGTCCAAAGCAGGGTTTAAAACTTTACTGGGACGTAGGAATAGCACTCAATCAGTTATTCAAATGAAGCAATAAGTAATTACTAATTTTTCAACGATTATTTTATAGGTTGTTGAAAAACTAAATCTAGAATATGTATTGAAATACTCTGTGCTTATAAGATTATCTTTTATTTGGAACAGAATCTAAATAATATTTCTAATTTATACAGCCATCCATTTCTTCAAAAAGTATAAGTATAGTATAAGTATAAGTATAGTTTTCATAGTATATTAAAATGCCATCACCAAATGTTAAGATGATATTTTTTTGTCTGAGTATTCAATGTTTAAAAATATTTATAAGCAAGATGTTTTTAATTGGTTCAATGTCATTACAGTGGATAATCCTTCGTTACATGTTATTTCAGTACTGGATGTGTAAATATCCGGTACAACTAAAGTGAATTGTATCAAGGATATTTTGAGATGTACATTTTAAAGATACATGTGATTACTCATAGAGCATGCCTCCTTATCGCAAAGAAGGTGCATGTCAGTGTACATCAAGTTTAAGCTACAGTACAATTATATCTTGACTTTTTGCACTAAAAATTGTAAATTATAGATAAATGACTTATCGGTTATTGTTACCTAAATAAAGGAAGCTGACGATAGAAAAGCTGATGCCATTATGTTAATCATAAATTTATGCAACCGGTTTATTATCTGATTTACCATCGATATCTAAATTTGAAACAACTATCCTTGTTTCATTAACTTGTTTGTCTTTAACTTACCTCGTTTTAGATATAGTTCGTACGTAAAGAAATTTCTTGCATATTGAATCAACTAAAAGACAAATAAGGGTTTATTACTAAATCAATAATGGAAGTTGAAAAAGAAAAGTTGAAGTAACCATGTTTTTCATAACGTTTTGTTGCTAAGTTAACATTATTGTCTCTTTCTAATTAAATAAATAAATATGAAAGTGATGATTCAGACCCTGTGGAATCTTTTATTGACGTTCAGTGGGATACGTCAATTCAATGAATGAATAAAACTTAATATAATTGTTAAAACTGTCTTATCCTTGATGTACCTTAATTTCGAATTAAGGACCAGAGCAAAATATTTTGTTACCAAAGAAGTTTTCATATATAGTAAAAAAAAATATAAAATATAGGATAAAAGAAATCTACAATGATTGGATATGATTTTTATCCAAATAATTGTGTGTTTTTTTAAATTCTCGAACCATGGCTGGGGGACAAAATAACACGCAAGAAGTTATATATAAAATCATTTCCAAAAACAAATCACGAGAGATTCATGTTCAAAAAAACTTTATCAATGTTTAATATTGTTTTCATTTGGGAATCATAAATACTTCATCACTCTCAATTGTAACCCATTGCGATGCCACAACTGTGGGATATCAAAAAATACCCAATGACTGATACCCACGGGATAGTCAATATACCACGGTGAAGGGCTTTGAATTTAAACGTCTACTCGGCAGTCAGAGCTATTGAACAATTCTTACCTATCTTTCATCGACTTGGAACACAAAATAATCCGATCACTAAGCGTGACAGCTGAAATATACATTTAAGAATTTTTTGCAATTTTCTTCCTTGAAAAAGTTTCGTCTCTAAAAAGATATTGTATTTTCCAAAAAAAACTTAATGATAAATTATATCATTTCATTAATAAATAAAATGTTGAATTTTTTTTTAAAGAGTAGTATTGATATACAATAGTGATGCTATAAATGTCATATGTACCGGTAATTAAAGAGACCTATTTACTGGCTATGAGGACAATAGCAAGTTTATCGTTCCCCAAGACAGCAAACTATTTCCCGAGGCGCAGCCGAGGGAAATAGTTTGCTGTCGAGGGGGACGATAAACTTGCTATTGTCCGAATAGTCAGTAAATAGGTGTTTTATTATACCGATGCTGACTTAACTTTTGTTAACTCTTGGGAGTCCAGGGTACACACAATTATGATATTCCATATTATACCGATGCTGACTTAACTTTTGTTACGTCATAATATATACGCGTCACAATCCGTATAAAACCAGAAGTTTTCCGAGATGAAAAGCGAGGGAAACAGAATGCTGCCGGTGAATAGTTTGATGACTATTTCACCATGGGCAGATAGCACAAAAACTATTTTACAGTAGGGGCTGTTTGAAAAAGATAGCATGTTTATTCGTCATGTTTTTATATTGAACAAATTCACAGAGGTATAATAATTTGAATTATCTTTTCTAATTGTAAATTCATGCGCGTTAATTATTGGTTTACATTTTTGCTCTAAAACACCTTTTTGAAATATTAAAGATCTAATAGGCTAAATATCTTTAGTCATGATCGATTTAAAATAACATATAATTTAAAATGATAAAAGAAAAATTGGGCCATTGATGAAAATTTTTGTTGAAATATCCGCGGGTTTTTTTCCAGACGAAAAATAAAGTCGATTTACCTAGACCTCTTAAAATATCTTCATTTTTAGGGGTAAAGTCTACGGAGTAAATGTAAAAAAATCTAAAAATATTAATTAATTGGAGCATAAATATCAATTGAAACATTTCTAGAATATTTAAAAAATATATGACATAATGTCTATATATGTACAAAAATGAAAGAATTTTAAAAGAGTTATAAAAATTTTAATGTTAAAGATATGAATAAAGTAAACATCAGTTCAGATATGGAATTATGGAATTTTTCGGAAGAACTTCGGGGATTTCTGATAGATGGGTTGGTCGTTCCAGCAGTGTACCTCGACTTGTCTTTGTCGTTACAGAATTCATTATCAGCGAGGCAGTCTGTTAAACAAGTGTGCCAGTAGTTGTCAGTGGAACAACAGTTCCTGCCACAATCCAGGGAAGCGCTTATTCCACATCCTCTGGTAATGGAATGAACCTCCAGGGTATCTGTTGTAAAAGAAAATATCGAACAGTCGATCATTCAAAAATTGTAAACAAATGTAAAAAGTAAGAAAATTTTAATCATTTGAGTTGATCGTTTAAAAATTGTAAAAAAATAAATAAAAAAAGAAAAAAAAGAAAAAAAAAAGCAAATTTTAATCATTTTGAAGGATAGGTTTTTCAAAAAAGCAGTATTTGTACACACACAGTTTAGAATTAAAGCGAATGCAATAGTAAAGGGATTAATTTAATATTTTACCAGTTTACAACATCTTTATCCCAATTCTACTTGAGATAAGTGCATAACTCACTCTTATTGTACTGTATTCTAGTATAACAGAAACTATCGTTGGCACACTGAACAGTGTTGGCGGTGGTAACGTTAGCCGGAGCGTTCACACATTCGTAACCAAGCTTAACGTCATTAGTAATGTACGAGCAACTGTAACATGCTAGTCCATTGACAAAACATACTGAAAATAGAGAGAGATACATGTAGGTGCAAATGCTTAAAATATTTGTACTTCAAAACATATTTAAAACAAAGATTATATCCATTCCGCATTTTGTATTCCACAATCTCATCTGCACACTTGTTCACTGACGGATAATTTAATTTTTATTCTGTTGAATAATGAAGAAATATTGCGTCATCCCTATTTATTTAATGGAAATCAAGTCTGTTCAAATTAGACAGTTTCTACACTAAGTGCGAATTCTCTTGATTTTAATACATACTGGAAATAGAAGAAAATATTTACGTACAATGAATAAACCAGTGCAACAATGCAGACTTTTAATTCAACAAATGAAACATATGGAGATAACGAACAGTATTCAAGATCAAAAGTCCACAAAACAATACAAAACAGGAGTAGAGCAAACACGGACCTCCAAAACATCAGAGGTGGGATCAGGTGCCATGGAGTAGTGAGCATCCCCTGCCGACCGGTCAAACCTGCCGTGTACTCCTTGTCAATATGCTGTGAAATTTACTTTAAAAAACTATGAACGATGTTTTCAAATTTATGGAGAAAGAGACGCAAGTATGATCTGTAGATGGGTGTAGTTTGCATCACTCTGATCTCTAAAACTTAAACAAATAAAATTTTAAGAAAATTCAAACATAAATGTAGCTTTGATAATCTTACATGTAGTAAGAACTATTAATAAAGAATATCTTCGTCACGTGCATATTCATTTTGCTTAAGATAGTAAAACAGTACACATACACTGTATGTTGAAACAAGTGTAGTTCAGTTACATATAGTCATGCTACAGGTCATCAAAAATACAAAATACAACAAAAAATAAACGCTAGTTTCTTTATTTCATTTAATCCTTCAATGTATTTGCTGTTTGATGTGGCCTTTACACAAGACCAAAACAACTCAATGTACAAGCTGTCTTTTTTGAGGTAATACACAATGTACTTACGGAAAGCATTCATCACGACTGATCTAAATGAGCTACATTTCTTTTAAAGTGTTTCCAAAGTATTTTTGGATTTAGTCAATATAAAACTGAATGAGTTCTGGCAAAATTGGACATGGCTGTGCACTGTATATTCCCTTTCTTCAAAATTACCTTTTGTTCTCCTTTTTAATATATTTACAGCAAAGTTGTCAGCTGTGAGGAACTCACCTTGGGTATGAGTATTTTAACTTTCCTTACGGATAAGTATTTTTTTTTTTACATATGATTAAACGCTCCTTTTTCTTGATAAGAAATACTAATTAGTTAATTTCAACGATCGTGCAACTTTGTCATAATTTGCTTCCAAAATTGTGGAAGTTTTGAAGGTTTTCGTCTAAAACTTGTACAAACGAGAGCAAAATTTAAATAAAATTTCAAATTGCTACATTTTGAATTGCTGCTCCGTCGAAATATGGCTAAAATATAGCCGACTCGGCGTTAAAGAGTAATCAGTCAATCAAATTGCTGTAAAATCTAACGGAACAAGAAAACCTTAAATTGCAAACATTCAGATTATGTGCACAGTATCTAATCCGAAATTAGCAAGTGTGAGTGTACAACTTCATTTGTGATTATTATGCTTAGGTTTCAATAGGATCGTAAAAGCGATCGATGAAAACAAGTAAATGTGCCTTGACTTCGTTTAGTGTGACAAAATTAAAATTAGAAGCTTTATTTACTCTTAGTAAGTTATTTTAAGCCAGAAGCTATCTTCAAATAAACTCATTTCCCTGCTGTCGTGACGTTTACGACATTAAAAAACAACTGTTGATGTGCTTATTTGGGTTACATTGTTTTTTAAATAAATATGCATGTTAGAAAGTCTAAGATTGTTTTCATATGAAGCATTTTCGATTTAACATTAAATAAATCTGAAACGTATATCTAACAAAATTGTATATATGTTTTTGTATATTTTACCTTTAATATGATGAACAAATCAATTTGCCCTTTCGCAATTTCAACTAACTGAACTACGCCTTGCTCATATACAACATTTGCCATTACCATGTATGTAATGTATTGTATAACTATGAAGTTTTTTCTTATACATTGTGTACGTAAATAAGTAGTTTTTAGCTACCATGTTAAGCTAGCGGATTAAAACACAAACGTTTACGTATGTTCCAACCCCCAAACCTGATGTGGTATACTTTCTTATAAAAAAAGTCTGATGTAATCTGCTACTTACTTAAAGAAAGAGACAATAAAAATCCAATCATAAATCCGTCATCCATATTCTACTTTCTATTCACCAACACTACAATGATTCATTAGTATATTAGATTATGATCGAAAATAAGAAACATTTCCAGCCTGAGGCAAAATTTATAGAGACAACACATACAGGTATAATTAGACTGTTAAATACGTGGAATTCCTAGGACGAGTTGTAAAACAGTTGTAATTCAGTCAAGCAGAAATAATAGGAAGTATAATGAGCGGCCATTGTTGTGGGAATGTTCTTAAGTTTCACTTATTATTTACAGTACTATGTGCAAGTACATAAAACGCACAATAGAATGTTGCGTTTTAGAAAAAAAATATATGATACAAAAACAAGTGAGTTTCATGCGTGATATTTGGTGCAGAATATCACCTCTTCTAACGAAAATATCACTGACGAATTCAAAACTTGGCTAAATCATTTCGTTTCAATTTTTGAACAGAAAAGTTTGAATGGTTACCGCTTTTTCTTTTATTGCACATTCAACAATATTTATTTATTTATTTTTAGTTTGATACCATATGTTAAAAACAATTAAAAGTAATAAATTTAATTTAAAATGGATAAGAACAATACAAGGCTAAATGAAACATATGGAGATAACAAACAGTATTTAAGCTCAAAAGTCCATTAAACAATACGAAATAGGTGCAAAGAAATCTCCACGTACACTCAGAGACATAAGGGAAACCATAAAAATGAAATACATTTTTAAAAGATATTTGTGAAAGTAATATTGAATAAGTAAAAGATTTGAAAATGTCATTTAATTAGTCATTTAAACAAAAATTATCTAGTTGCAGCAAATAATCTCATATTTTCTACTTTCAGAAAGTAGAAAGTTTAGTGTTTTTAGTTTAAATTATTTGAAAAAAATGCATGTTTGATTTAAAACACACATGCAAAGATCTTATAAATGAATATTTGTATTTTTAATGAGAAAAATATCAGATGCAGAATTTCTTAGAAATAAAACTTGAGTTGTGGTGAAGGAATTTGAACTTAAAGGTATAATCAAATTCAGTATAGAAAAAAGAACAAAAACTGGAAAGAAACAAGTTAGCAACGACCATAGAATTTACGAATTACTGACAAAAAACGAGATTGTTGACATTTGTGTTAGTAGCATGCTTCGCTTTAAAAATTGATCGCACTCATATGAATTGTATGAAGATTGAAAGAATCTGACATAAAATTGGAGAGGGGAAGTCATCCCTGAGATTTTTCAATAATTAACTATACAAAAGTTGACTTTATTTAAAAAATTCTCTTTGAAATAATCATTCATCGAGCGCTGAAATAGCATTCAAATAAATTTACCAGGTCCAAGGATCATGAATCAGACTAAGACTAAAGTCAATATTTCAGTCTTCTATAAAATTCTTAAAACTGTGTCATTAAACTGTCAAGAACAGAGGGCTGTTCAATAAATAATGTCATCTTTGCTCGGAAAGAAACAATAAGCGCTTTTCAATAATTTAGGCTTGATGATTTCACTTAAATATTCTCTTTTAATTAAAATACAATTTATAATTGTTTTAGAACACATTTTTGAGTATGACCCTTCGAATACTGAAATATGGCAGATCCTATGATTTCCTGTACTTGTTTTTTTTTTCTGAAAGGTGTTTTTTCAAGTTTGGGAAATAAAACAAGTCATAGGTTGAACGATCTGGTGAATATTGTTGGTGTCACAAAATATCAACTTTCTGTTTAAACCCAAAACTCCTTTACTCTTTATGGCCTGTGGGTTTGGACACTGTCATGAAAAAAAGATCATGAAGTTGATTCCTGATTCTGGTTTCTTCCTCTCATAAACCTTTCGATTTTTTGCAAACATTTTGCTTTCCAAACTCCTTCAGAAATTGAATTGTCTACCTCGAATAAGAATTTGAACAACAAGACCACATATATTTAATAAAATAGCATATCAAACTGTTTTTTGTGCTTTTAATATTCTTTGCTCTTCTTGGGCCTTTGCTGTTTTGTCAAGTGCATCTTATTAATGTAAATTTGTTTTGAGGATTTAAAGCATGTGGATAAGTACAATATTAGTTATCCAGGTTCAATCAAGGGTGTACGGGGATTTACCCCGGGTTTTATTCCATACACCCTGAGGCCGAATACAACCCGGGGTAAATCCCCGTACACCCTTGATTGGACCTGGATAACGAATTTATTTCCTTTGTACCCATAAAAATCAGAGTGTCGATTAGATAGCAACGTACTACAATACAGCGTGAAGTCATGTTATTTGATTTTTATCATAATAAAAGCATTGTGACGTCACGTTTAATTTACACCCGGCTCAAGTCGGGTGCACGGATATTTACACCCGACTTTGTAACCAATCAAAGATCGTGTTACAAGCTAGATAGGAAATAACTTTTGATATTCAATAATAATTTTTAAGATATTCTTACAGGCAGTCGTTTTCTCTTATTTTTCAAAACATAGGGTGACCTTAGAGTATGATGCCTATCAAATTTGCTATGTGTCTTAAAGTCAATCAAACATAATCAGTGATAATTTGTTGAATTTTGGCAAAAGGTTTGTTAGTTGTTTTAAGTCCTTGTCGCCAAGGATGGTACCCATTTTTGATGCCAATTTTAGCATTTTTGTTCATTGAAATCCACCTGCTTATGTATGTATAAAACAGACATTGGTTGCTGTAAATTTCACATATTTCAGTAAATATTTCTTTGGGATTCTAAACAGGTTTTACAGCAGCTTTAATGAAGCGTTTCATTTAAGTCTAGTTTACTGATTATTTACCGTTCATTTTTAATGCTGTGTCTCGATTAGCCCTTGTTTTCCAGCTTCCCACAATGAAACTATGTGATGAAAAGTGATCACGTAAACTGTTATCAATTCATTAAAGATTCAATAATGAGAGAAAGTCAAGCTTTTTAATAAAAATATTTGTGCATGCATGTTATCAAATAAGTATCATAAAAAATCAATTATAAAAAGTTGTAAAATTACAATCTTATGTATTTTTATTGAGGTAGATGAAACAAAAAGGGTACTAACTAGACCAAGTACGGTATTACATGTATATGTATATAATATATAAAAAAAAAATCTGTCATAACATTTTTAGCATTAAAAATATCTAAGGCAGCGAAATCTAATATAAGAATTATATTACAAACAGTAGATATGTTCTAGTGTCAGCTATGATAAACGATAAGAATTGAATAAAATTCCTCTTTTTATGATACAATTGGACACTTTTTTGGCTTTTTTCTCTGTAGTTTTCTTGCTATGAACGTTATAAAACAGGTATATAATAAATCCTTCCTGAAGTTGTGTACGGTTTCCAGAATTGGATTGTTGACAAAGAGAACAATTAGATTCATTGGAAGTTCTGGAGTAAATGAAGCTATCACAATAATTATTTTCCAAGTATTTATGTCCACATTGTTTCAAGGAAATTACCCGCGTTCCCTCAATAATGCCTGTATTAATGGAATTTTCTGTTGCTTTGCTCAGATAAAGCCATCGCCTTTGAGACTTTATTTAATTTAAAGAAAAACGTGTCAATCTTCAAATGTTTTTTTAATGGTCACTAGAAATCTTCAATGAAAAATCAAATACATTGAAAAAATGGAAAGTTTTGTTTCTCCGATTTTAGATACACAGTATACCTACTGACAAAGTATTTCTTTTTAATCACTGCAATTGTGAAATTAAATGTCAATTTATATTTTAAAAAGTTAACAAACATTTTTTTTTTTTTTTTTTTATACATTTTCTTATTGTTACCTCTTCTAGAGTTATCGAATTACAAATATGAAAAATGAAACAAATATTCATTGACAATTAACTTTTTTTCAGTTTGTTAGCGAACATTTAAAATTGAAATTTATATTTTCACACATTTATGATTTTCATTTGTCGTTAATTGAGATTTGGTCTTAATGAAAAAAATCCGTACGCATGTAATATTTAACAAACAAAAAATCCGATTTTTTTTTCAGATTAACTTTCATTCTAAACTAAAATTGTCATTAGCAAGTGTTTATTTGCCATTCACATCACGGTCTTAAGTTTTATACAGTACTTAAATCCTACTTAAGCACGGTCTTAAGCTTAAAGGTACTTGGACACAGAATTGAAGTTATTATTTTCTCTATAATATTACGACTTATATATTTTAATAGCATTTCACACAAAAATTAATTAAAAATATTATTTCTTATAAAAGATATTAAAATTTCAAATTTTTTAGCGGGTTTGATTGACACATCTTTGCATTTTCATAAATTAATTTTATTCTTAATCCTTAGGGAAAAGTGGCAATCTTGTTGTGTATAAATGAAAAATATTAATACTATAATCCAGAAATTTCAGAGTAGACATGTTCGAAAGCAAAACAAACACGCAATATATTGTCAGTCCGTGCAGTTGTTGTAAGCAGACTGTGACGTTTGAACGCACCCGTAGAATTATAAACATCAACAATAAGAAACTCGTGCCCTGTTTACAAAAACTGTGTACATAACACGAGTGTGCTCGATTTGCTAAACTCCGTACGCAACTCTTAGTTCGGAATGACGATACTTGTGAAGGAGTTTTGCTTTCTAACATTTTCACTCTGAATAAAATCATTTTTCTGGATAAAAGTTTTAATATTTCTCATTAATACAAAACAAGATTGCCACTTTTCTTAAGGATTAAGAATAAGGTTAAAATTTGTGAAAGTGCAAGGATGTGTCAATCAAACCCGCCAAAAAATCTGAAGTTTTAATAACTTTTAAATGAAATAATATTTTTAATTAATTTTTGTGTAAAATGCTATTTAAATATATAAGTCGTTATATTATAGAGAAAATATTGACTTCAAATCTGTGTCCAAGTACCTTTAAGTAGCGTTTATGTTACGAACCCCCTGGATATTAATTTAATTCTTAAAAAAATACCTGGACGTATATTCCCAGCCTTGACCAACATGACTAAGGAGTTCCAGATCATAAAAATGGATACCAAACTCATTTCAACTTGTTAAAATACAAATACTCCTCTCTGCACAAACAACCTGCCATATATCTTGTAAATCCTGTGCGCAATAAATTCAAATGATATGCTTTCATGACATTTTTCCCTCATGCTCATGCGGGATTTGCATTTTCATTAAACTTCATTAAGTCTGTTTCAAAATCAAATAAATTGATTTTTGTTTTCGGTTATTGTTTTTTTCTGCTTTCTTCAAAA